GAGCCTTTAAGTCTAGTCAAAGAGCCCAGACCTACACTCAATGTCAATGCCCACCTCTGTTCCTCCAGCTGCTGTTATCCAGGTGCTCAGGGGTGAACCTCCCTGTCCACCAGAAGTTCTGCTTTTGGAGTCCCCAGACAGGCTCAGAAGCCTGACTCCCAGGACTCAAATCATGGAGACTAACCTCAAAGCAAGAGTCAGACTCTCCTTCAACAGAAACTAAAAAGATAAGTAGCAGATACTCATGACACATGTCTGGGCAACCAGGCTGCCTGTGGGTCAAGCAGCCAGACCAAGAGCTCAAGGTCTGACAGCCAAAGGCTCCAACAGGATGGCTAATAAGGTGGACACTAGAAATCTGAGCTGTCCTAACTAGGGTCTGGAGGGCTGCAGACCTCAGTACAGCCCAGATGGAGCTGTCTGGGCACACTCAAGTTGTCCCAGGCTTCTCTGAAGAAGCCACAGGCCATCAGTCATGACTAATGTCTAATGCCTAACCTGGTACTGAGGGCTCCCAGAGGGAGCCTGATCCCAGCTGTACCACAGCATTAAAAGATCAGCTGGGATCAGGCAGGTCCCTGGGGCCAGGAGGCGCGTCTGTGCAGCTTCTTCCCACCGCCCTAATGGAGCAGAGGAAGTTTTCAGAATCCCCTGGAGGAAGTGCCCTGGGGCTCTTTGTTTGGAAACATTCTTGGATCCTCAGGTGTCTCTGGCACTTCCTCTCTCCAGAGGCCATTCTCCAAACACAATCCTTGCACATGACTTTACTTCTTTTATTTTTTTTCTTTCCAGGGGATGTAGTTTTCAGGGCTGTGAACTGTAGAATAGGGAGGAGCCTGTTTCCCTGCAGGCACAGATATTAGGGGTGAACCGAGGGCTCTTCCGCCCAGGTCGGTCTAGACTCTTGGGAGGGGTCTTCTGGGTTTTCCAAGAGGCTCCGGAAACAGAGGCTGCAGTCTGGTCCCCGACTTCCCTTCACACGTGCCCCCGGGGCCGACAGGGAAGTTGATGAAAGATGGGAGACAGGAGAGGCCTCATCCAAAGGGGACCAGGTTGGGGGGCAGATCAGGGCCACTGGCCTGGGAGTCCGCGTCCCTGGGGCCTGAGCCGCGGGTAGGAGCGGGGATCTTGAAGGCAGCGAAACGCGCGGGGCGGGCGGGGCGAGCCCGACCCGGTCGCGCAGCCCCAGGGTGGGGTCGCTGAGCAGGGGGTGGGGGTGGGGGAGGATTTTGGCCGGGCTAGTGGAGGGCGCGGGTCCCGAAAGGGCCGACCGCCCGGCCCATCCGCCCTGTCGCCTCGCGGACGGCCCCTCCGCGGCGCGGCTAGGCCCATGGCCCCAACCTACCGGCGCCGCCGCGGGGACCCAGGACGCGCCTCTGCGCCGCCTCCGCTGCTCCAACATGGCCGCCCGCTGCGCACCGGAAGCGCGCCGCGCTTCCGCTTCCGGGACCTGGCCCGCCCTAGTGACCCTTGACCCCCCGAGACCCCGTTTCCCCCAAAGTCTGGGAACGGGGTAGGTGGGTACCTAGGAAGGCTTCCTGGAGGAGGTGGCTGCGGGGACCGCTCTAAATCCATCCAGTCCTGTGCAGGAGTCTGAGGAGCAGAGGTGCTCTCAGAGGCTGTGGACAAGGCCTGCCTCAGTCCCAAGCTCCTGACTTGAGGGAAAGAGGAATGTCCCCTGCCTCGCTGGGAGTGTTGCAGGGGTATCTCCTCTGAGGGCAGTAGCCCTGCCTCTCTTCCTGACAATGAGGCCCACGTGAAAGGATGGTGCTGGTGTGCACACAGCCCAAAACTGGGCATGTAAAATCTGAGAGTCCTAGCATACCAATGTGGGCCTGAGGGTACTTGCCTAAGAGCATGTACATGGGTGTGGTGGGAGAACCCTTGCCCAACCCCAGCCCTGTCAATGGCAGAAAGTCCTGCCTTCCAGAATTCCTGTCCTTTGCGTAGGAGACTGGGACCTCAGTCTCTCTACCTGTACTGCTGGGCCCAGCAGAGGCATGGTGGTTACAGGGCCCATTGCCTAAGCAGCACCAGATGAGAGGACACAGGTCAAAATTAACTCTAGGAGTCTAAGAGGTCAGTCTCTGACCAAAGGCCTATCTTAGTCAGGGGTCCCCCAAGTCCAGGATGGGAGCCAGCATGGAAACTCTGGTTTCATGGATGAGATAGCGGGGACATTCGTACTTCAGTTAGAGCCTGAGCTATGAGGCAGAAATACTGCCACAACTCTTGGACCCTGACATGTACAATGGTGCCAAATTTAGTAGCTGAGGGTAGGTGGAAGCCTGTGGGCAGTCACAAGATGCTTCATTTAGGGACTGGTTAATAGCTTTTCTCCCTCCTCATATGACCCCAGGATCCTTAGGCATAGAAGGGTCTAGGCACCCCTAAAGGGAAACACTCACCCCCGCCCTCCCTAGGCCTCAGCTGGCACCTCTGAGCTTCCTAAGGCCTCAGCACTCATGGTAAGGCCCTCAGTGCCTTCAAGCATAGCCAAAGTGTGCAACAGTAAATGCAAACTCCTGCTCCTTTGGGGTCAGTGCTTCTAACTCTTCATTCTGTTAGAAAGAGGAGAATGGTGGGGTCCCAAGGGCCAGGATCTCCTAGTACAATCAGGAAGTCCCACCTTGGTATGCCCAGTCTCCAACTGTGGGTGAGTTCTGTCTCTGCCCCATCCATGGTTGAGAATTAGCTGCTACTCTCAGGACCAATCCAGCCTCATCTTCTACCCCAGTTGTCTTCCACAGCTTCTCCAAAGTCAGCAGTGTTGGCCCCCTGTATGTAGGTGGTTCCAGGACTGTGTAAAAAAAAAACAAGTCCCATGAAGAGGTAGAGCTCAGCCATCAGGGATGGCATGGACTTAGGCGTGTCCTGGAAGGGGGAATCCCTCTCTGGTGATGTCCATCCCAGAGTTCAGTGAAAAATGGAGGACTTAGCAGGGTAGATCCATCCCCAGGCTGTATCCCTTGCAGACATTAGAACTGGAGGGATAGTAGGGGTTAGGGGTCAGGGTTATGGGTACCTAGCACTCTGAGGGGAAGCTGACCCTTCTGCCTCTTGGTGCTCAGTATGTTCCAGATGGAACTCTGGGAGCATTCATCAGAGAAAAGTGTGACCTGACCTGGAATTTGGTGGATGCTGACCCTGTAGGCATAACTGGGATCAGACAGGATGAGGTTGGCAGAGACCACAAGGTTGTCCCAGGACCCAGCTCTTGCTCTCCATTTGGCATCTTTTACAGCCCTGTAAATGGGACCTAGACCCATTTCCACCTGATCAGAGATCTGGTGGATATCTAGTTGTGGGCGAGGCTGGTGGGCCTGGGAGGGATCACTCAAGGAGGGAGTCAGTGTGACAAAGAGAAAAGCCAGGGCTGGATCTTCAGGAGCCACTTCCAAGGGAGAAGAGGAACCAGAGCCTGTAAAAGACTCTGAGAAGCAGCACAAGCAGGAGCAGAGGTGCCAAGGTCACAAGGAATGAAACTCTGAAGATGTCAGCAAGATTTCAGTTGAGATGAAGACCATAGGGACCTGTAGTTTTAACTATATGGTGTTCCATCAAGACTTTGACAAGAGCAATTTGGGGGGAGCAGTGGACATGAAATAGCAGGTAGCAGGTGATTGGAGGGGAGGAAGGGGAGGCTGGAGGGACTTGGGGGTACTGGGATGTGTCTTAAAGTAGGAGGCTTTTAAGCGCTTAATTGCTGGAATGGAGAGGGGAAAGGGCCTGGAAAGGGAATAGTGGGAAATGTGAGGGTTCTGCAGAGCAGTGTGAACACCCCGTGGAGGAAGGTACAAGTGCGCTAAGTGAAGAGCAAGTGAAAGGCAGAGTGAAGTGAGAGGATGGAAGCCACCTAGTCAGGTTCTGAAACCTGCCTTGATACCATCATTTCCATGTAGTCCTTCCAACTCCAACTGCCAGCCTGTGAAAGGAGCTGGACTCTCTCTCTAGTCATGGAGAAGGCTCTGCCCACACTCAGGGCAGGCTTCAGAAGTCTGGCAAACCAAGGACTCAGTGCCTCC